AATGGACCATGTCGGGTCGGGTCAAGTCTTACCAATTATAGTTATGGACTTAGACATTAATCCAACATATGTTCCATGTATTTGTCCACACGATATCTAGAACGGAGGACTATATGATCCCTTATCTAGAGGATAGGTTACTGATAAGATCAGAGTTCGACAGCGTCTTTGAGATATACGATTGCTAATCGGATTGTACCTACACTATAGTTACTAGACTTATCTAAGTGGGAGACTGTTGGATTAGTGTCTAAACTTGTAACTATATTTGGTAAGTACTTGACCCGGTTGTGCATGGTCCTTTTGGGTTGCCTTCACCAAAAGCAACTTGACATGGTGATTTATGAATAGAGAGGTTAATATGGTTTATTAATATATTATATGAATAATATATTAAAATAGAAATCATATAATTAAATTAATATTAGACAAGAATTAATTAAGAAATTAATTATGTGGCTAAAAGGCATTAATTTAATATCAGGGACTTAAACTGTTCAAATGTGTGATAGTGGAGTATTGGGCTGAGGAGCCTCTTGGACTAGGCATGGACGAAATTAGGATGTGTCCATCCATAATTTCGGCCATAAGGCCCTATCCCAGAAGCTTCCTTGGATAGCTTAAGGCCTAAGCTGTCCATTAGGGTTTAGGCTGAAACCCTAGCAGCACCAATATAAATAAGACCCTAAGGCTTCCGAATTCCGGCCACTTGATACCCTCGAAAGATCATAGCCGAAATTGTGCCTCTCCCCTCTCTCCAATATCATCCTCTTGCTTCTTTGGTGTTTGTAAGCCATTAGAGGAGTGACACTTGTGACTCTAAGCTTCAAGACAAGAAGATTCAAGCTATTGTTCAAGAGGTAATTAACTAGATCTGTTTTCTTATGTCAATTTCGAATCATGTATGCTAGATCTAGGGTTAGAAAGTATTTGACGAATTGCATGTACAATAGAGAAGCCTAGATCCAAGCTTTAGGGTTTGCATGAGCACATAGGATGTTCTTTTGGCTAAAAACCATCATTGTTGACTACGAGTTGGTTGTGCATTGATGATACGAAAAGGCATCAGTAACTTGATGTTATAAAACGTATCGTTGTGCATGATTTAATGAGTAGTTAGTACAAGCATATAATGTCAAAGTTTATATGTTCCTTTTATCCTAAGAGGATTAAAAGCAATATCCTGGGCCCCTCGATGATTTTGTTTTGACTTATGTGTCGGACCCGGTCAGAACTAAATTGATGTGTTCAATTATGTTCTATGTCAGACAAATCGGAAATCGGGAAACAAACTGCAGGACAATAAGTATGACTATGTTCCATGTATTTGTCTGCATGATATCTTGAAGAACAGAGGAATATATGATCCCTTATCTAAAGGACGCGTCACTGACTAGGTCATAGTTTGACAGCGGCTTTGGAAAGCTACGATTGCTAATCGGATTATGAAGATGCATTGGCAGTTATAGTTATTAGACTTATCCAAGTGGGAGACTGTTGGATTAGGTGTCTAAGCCGATAACTATAACTGGGATGTACTTGACCCGATAGTAGCATGGTCCCTTTGGGTTGCCTTCACCAGTGCAATTTGATAGGATGGACTTTTGAGAATAAGGTTATTTATGATTTATTAATATATTATAAGTATAATATATTAATTGAGAAATCATATTATTTAATTATTATTGATCAAGAATTAATTTGGAATTAATTTAGTGATCAAAAGAGACTAATTAAATATACGGGGACTAATTTAGTAAATTAATGATTCTTATAGTGTGGGCCAATGATCCATGGTTAATTAGGATGGGCTAAACCAATATGAAAGTCCATGGAGGTTTAACCCATGGAGCCTAAGTAATATGAAGGGTCATGGTGCATTAGGGTTTGCATGGATGAAACCCTAGCCTTTGTAACTCTATAAAAGCAAACCCCTAGAGCCAAAATCGGTTGCCCCATTCATTCTAAGAGAGTTATAATCAATTTTGTGCTAACTAGCCTATTCTCTCAAGTCTCCTCTTGCATTTGGTGTTTGTGACACATTAGAGGCATCACACTTGAGGTTCTAAAGCTTTCTAAGGCCAAGAACTACAACTACATCAAGAGGTATTCATCTAACTATGAGTTTTATATTGTATATCCTCCATTGAATGCTAGTTAGGATGTATGCTTTGGAAAATTGAAATTGTATGTATAATTAGAGAAAACACATATCCAAAGCATCTAGGGTTGCATGTGCACCATAGGAGTGTTATAGTGCTTAAAACCCAACAGTTTTCGCCCTCAAGATTTGGCGACATTACCTTTATGGGGTCCGGTGTACTATCTACACAGATCATAAGAGCCTGAGGTATCTATAGGACCAGTTGAATCTGAATATAAGGCATCTTATATGGTTGGATGTGGTGAATGATTATGATTGTGAAATCCTTTATCACCCGGGGAAGGCCAACGTGGTGGCCGATGGTCTCACCCGCAAGGCGGTTGCTGCCCCGATCAGGGATGTGTGTTTGAGGATGACGGTGATTACCCCAATCTTAGAGAAGATTCAAGTGGCTTAAGTTGAGGTTATGAAGGAAGAGCACCAGAAGAGTTAGTGCATAGTGGGTGAGGTGTCTTCCTTTGATTATGATAGCCGGGGGTTATTAACCCTTCATTGGAGGGTGTGGGTTCCATAGTGGGGTGGTTCGCGTCAGGTTTTGATGGAGGAATCGCACAAGTCAAGATTTTTTATTCTTACTGGAGCGACAAAGATGTATAGAGATCTCTGGATCGACTATTGGTGGTCATTCATGAAGCAAGATGTGGTCTGGTACATGGAGAGGTGCTTAACTTGTAGGAAAGTCAAGGCCGAGCATCAACGACCTCATGGAAAAATGGAGTCGTTGGGTATTCCCGTGTGGAAATGGGAAGAGACTATAATGGATTTTATCACCAAATTGCCTCGGACGGCGTGCGGAGTGGACTCGATATGGGTCATCGTGGATCGATTGACCAAGAGCCCGTATTTTATTCCGATCCAGGAGAGTATTTCGGCAGAAAATGTGGTTGATATCTACATTCAGGAAGGGGTGGCACGGCATGGGATGCCGGTTTCCGTGGTCTATGATAGGGATGTTCAGTTTACTTCTAGGTTTTGGATGAGGTTCCATGTGGAACTGGGTACTCGTCTGCATTTCAACAAGGCCTTCTGTCTGCAGACTTATGGTCAGAGTGAGCGGACTATCCAGACTTTGGAGGACATGCTTCGGGCATCTGCTATGGATTATGGCGATAGTTGGGATATCTATCTTCCTTTGGCGGAATTTTCATATGACAACAATTATCACGCCAACATTGATCGACCTCCTTTTGAGATGCTCTACGGGAGGAAGTGTAGGAGCCCGATATGTTGGGGTGAGATCGGTCAGCGGGTCATGGGGAGTACGGAGGTAGTACTTAAGACGATAGAATTGATTCAGTAGGATCACAACAAACTTCAAAAAACAGAAGCCGACAGAAGAGTCACGCAGATAAGAGGCAGTCCGATTTGGAATTCCAAGTTGCACTACTAGAAAAACAGCCTTTTACGGCGCGCAATGTGTGTCGTAAAACGCTCAGACGACGCGCAAATGCGTTTCAAGGAAGGCCCGGTCATAACGAGAGACAGCACGCTTTTGCGCGTCGTCAATAGACGACGCGCATCTATGATGCACAGTTACGACACGCATTTACGACGCTCATTTATGACATGCAATGCGTATCAAGGAAGGCCCTATCATAAAGGAAGACGACACACATTTACGTGTCGTAACCTTACGACGCACATTTACGACACGCAATGCGTATCATTAAATCCCATGTCATAAAGGACGATGAGACACATTTTTGCGTGTCATAATCTTAAATTTTTCAAAAAATATATATTTTTATTTATTTACTAATTTTCAAATTAAATTAACATTTAATTTCTCCTAATACAAAATAAAATATCATATATAAAAATACAATCCATTGCACAAAATTAAATGTCATACAAATAATTGTTTCAATAGTAATAAATGTAATATCAAGTGTGAAGGAGATGAAAATCATCAACAAATAATAGTAGAACCACAAGAACTTGGTCACCACCTTCACAAAATCCGAGCTACTTTGTTTGACACTACACACATCAACAAGACCTGTAAATTTGAATCATGCAACCATTAGATTCACATATTGAGAAATCAAAGTATACGATGTTATTTCTTACATTTAACCTTCTTATATGTAATAAGATGAAATGAAAGTAGGATGCTATAATAAACACTCATATATAGTTTAGTAGGTTAAGACTAGTCCACATTTAGTCTATTAAGTAAAATAAAAAAGAAACAAGACTTCAATTATAAGGATGAGTATGGGTTAGAAACCTCCACCGCCATAAATGCCTGAGTTTTAAAGCTTTCCCCTGTATCTGAAACACAAATTGTGTAAAAAAAACATCATATTAAGTTGGCATCCACATCAACCAAGAGATGAAAAATTATCTATTTATCGTGCAATCAGTCGCTAACTTGCTATATACAATATATAAAATGTTTAAAGAATGAAAGTTTTAACTAATAGTAAGAAAGCAAATAACAAAATGAGGTAATAAGATAAATATATGCAAGTGAAGCACCAAATAAGACACTTACCTTATAATTAAGATGAGAAGGTGGAAGTAAGATAGACCTCAAGAAGAAACAGTCTGATAGGCATCTGTAACCAACTAATCTGATGATCGCAATTAATATTTAGTAAGTTAAGAGTTTTTTGGACTTTTAAAACATGTCATACCGTAATAATCTAGCATGTTCTTCAGCAGCTTTTGACTCAAAAACATGTTCCTTAGTTTCAGCAAAAAGATTTTGAGCTTTTTCAATGAGTTTTATACGTGGAGTATGAAGTGGAGATCCTCTAGTTGCCATTGGATTCTTTGCTAATTCCCATGATTCTTTCCACAACAAGTAGGCAACATCCTACATTCAACAACACTTAACTACATACAAACTTCTACTTTTGTTTTACCAAATCAAATCTCAGTGTTTATCAAAACAAACTTACATGAAGTTGACCAGTAGAAAGAAAGAAATCCTTGAGAAACTCATGCTTATAGCACCTGAAATAATAGACACATTCATAAAAAAAAATCTTCATATTCTCATATGAAATTAAATAGAAAAACTTATATAGCCTTTACCTTGCATAACGTATAAATAGATCGCGTGTAATAGGTCTAGCTTGTATCATTCCAAATAATTCCAATGATGGTCTCTATACAAGCCAATAATTTGAGAACTTAATTTTAGTATTATTTTATAATTAATCAAATAAGAAAACAATAAATACCTTCTTCTATATATGAAAGAGAACAATCTAAAAAAGATTAGTATCACCACTTTCAGTTGCTTTAGTCAGGGTTGTATCTTCTTCCCCAATGCCTAGTAACAGAGCAACCTGGAAAAGTGATATTCAATCATATTATGTACTATATCATTCATTCAATTTTGCATATATTGAAATTTTCAACTTCATATATAAGTAATAAACCCTAAACCTGCTTTGAGGATAGAGGTTCATGTTCAACAAGCATAGCGGCTAATTTCCTCATGCTAGTCTGATCTGCATGAGCAGCAACTGCAGCATAAGAAATGCTTCTGCACAATTTTAACTGAAAATCCCAAAAAGTTAGCCATTGACATTTTTTACTGTACTTTAATCCTATAAAACTTTGAACAAACCTTATCAAGTAAAATTTCAAGGAGAGTAGCATCAGGAACTGCTGATGATACTGTGAGCTTTGAACAAGCCCAGTGCATGATAACCACTTCCTGCAGAATAAGCCTAAAAAAGAATCAATCCACCAATCAAAACTGAACAAGTCATATCATATATGATATATCATAATGATTAGTAAAGAACAATACATAAAACTTACTTGGTTCATTCTAAGATAATCTGATATCCTGAGTGCCAGGAGATGTTGGTGGGCATTAACCAATCGACCAATCAGAACTGATGGTGTAAGCAACTAAAGAACAGATTAAAAGCATTAATGTAATGAGGAATAGTTATGAAATTGAATATGTTTAGGTGATAAAAAATACCTTGTATTGATGTATGCTTAGTGGAATCTCCTGAATGCTCTCACGTTGAAATTGGCTGCCAAAGCCAACTAGATATCACTATCGTTAACAAAAATTAGAAAAACTTAAAACTTAAAACCACCACCACCATTTATAAGCTTAACATTATCAGCTACTCTCAACTCTTACAGAAAGCTTAACATTATGGCAAAGGGATGATTACTAGTTTCAGACCAACATATTTTACATGAAAAACTTCACTTGCATTCAATAAAGTTATTTCAAGCCTTCAAACATCAAGTTGACAAATCAAATATCCAGATGATTGGTCACCATATCCAATAACAGAAGAGGGACTGCACGAAAGTGAAAATGGTATTTGAATTTGAGGGAGGGTTAGTTTAGTAATTAAGAAAGAGAAAGAGTAGTGAACTAGCCTTTGGGAAACTTGCAGTGAGGGGGACTGTAAGAGCAGCAAAACTCTCTTCTTTCCGTTTCCGATGATGTTCTGCCTGATTCTGTTGACTGGAGGACCAAAGGTGCCGTCTCCCCCGTCAAAAATCAACAAGATTGTGGTGAGTGAGTTATATATATATTTCTGTGCTATAGTTTTCCCTCGCTCCTTTTTGTGCACGTACATTTTTATGATTGTGGGCGCTGTTCTCTATTCCAGGTAAACATGACCTCTTAGAAACTTAATCGTTAGACAAACCCAGGGTTGTCCATTATATTGAATCCCATACAATAAATAAAACTATCTCAAATTACATGGATGACATGCTTGATGGATCCCACTTCTGACTATTTATGCATGTATATGTTTTCACATATATATATATATATATATATATATATATATATATATATATATGTATATGCATGTATACATCTATATTCACATGTATGCACATATCTGTATCTGTATACTACTCTGTTTTGACCAAGAAAGAATACTAAAATTCTTCAAAAATGGTTGAAGAAGACAGCTACAGCACAATAACTAATGATCTGAACTCAAACGCTACAAATCTTTTGACCCTATGTCCAAAACAACTACAAAGTTACAAAATATAAATACATGTCAGAACCAAAACCGACCAACACAACTGGATCTAAAGATTGTATACCATGTAACACCTTACGTGAGGGATTAGCGAATACATAGTTTCCAGGAGAACAAAACCCCATAAATGTGTGACTAATATGCAAGAGATGGCGTGAGCAGGAATCCAATAATAGAAGAGGGCCTACAGACTTGTTCCTTTTTCACTTAATAAAAAAAATCAGGCGAATAAAGCTTTCCCTATTAAGACCTAACTTTTTACAAAGTTTCTCTCATTTACTTCGGTTTTCCTTCCATACAACTTCTACCTTGAATTCAAGACTTGTCATCATGTGAGGTTAAAATGTTTACTAGACATGTGAAGCAGAAAATAATGGAAGATGAAGTTTTACGTTCTCGGGTGCTATTTCTTTATTTGACTAAACCATACGTCATTCTTATGTAACCTAAGAAGATGGAGTGTATATAAACTGGGAAAATTATACAATTGGAAGATTCAGCAACAAAAAACGTACCTCATCAACCTTCACGATGATCTGATCAACATTTTTCCCTAATTCCCCCGCAACAGCAGGTTCGCCTTCGGTTCGAACTTTCGGAACGGCTGCATCCATTGTTTCCATTTATTCTTGAGACTAGGATCCACGATTGAAAGACTTTTGGAATAGTAGATATATTTTCCGACGCAAACAAGCTCCGGTGACTGGCCGTAAGTGTGTCGTCGGTGATGTCCGTCGTTGGAGAGAGAAGAAGGGTTTGGAAACAGGTGGGGGGTTTTGTCATGTGAGATAATTACAGAAAAAGTAAAATAAAACGGTAAAGGAAAATATAAGTTACAAAATTTCTCGGCGTAAAAGAAACCTGGTGGAGAAGGAGAGACGAGAAGGTGGAGGTTTCGATTAGGGGTTGTTCAACTGGTAGCTTTGACGGTCGTAGTTGTCGATCGGCGCTACAATTGAAAGGAGTTGCAGTCACCGAACCATTTAGTGTGAGGATCGATTTGGAAGGCGGGGGTTTAAAAAATTTGGGGATTTCATTTTCCCTCTAAGGAGACACGCGTTACTTAAAACAAAAATATAAAACGACATTCACAGAGGACGTACAAGTGCCCTCCGTGTTTTTAATTTTTTTTACATAAGACACTAACTTAAGGGCACGCAATAATGTGTGACCTAAATCCTTAAATTTTTTGAAGAGATGACACTTTTTTAATGTCACTCTCTTTTGCGTAACATAAATCAATGAGTCTCGTGGTTTGCACGTCGTAAAAGGGTATTTTTCTTGTATTGTTGGGTACATGGTGCTACTGAAGGTGTCACCTCGTGGTAAGCTAGGCCCCAGGTATATTAGTCCTTTCAGAGTAATAGCTCGGGTGGGCAGGGTTACGTCTCGTTTGAAGATGCGTAAGGAGCTCAATCAGATTCATAGCACTTTTCATGTCTCTCAACTGTGGAAGTGTTTGGTTGATGATTCCGCAGTGGTTCCATTGGAGGACATTCAGGTGGATGATTGTCTGAATTATATAAAGAGACCAATAGAGATACTTGATAGGAGGACGAAGACCTTGCAGAACAAGGTGGTGGATATCGTGAAGGTTTCAGTGGCATCACAACACCGAAAGGGTTCGGAGTGGACATGGAAGCCTGAGGACGAGATGAGGGTGCATTACCCGGAGCTATTTGCTACAACAAACTTCGAGGATGAAGTCTAATTGAAGTGGGGAAGAGTTGTAAAACTCGGTTCCAAGGTATTTCTTATTTTGACCCTTATTATTTAATTAGCATGCAAATTTGGTCCTTAAAGGGTGAAAGTGTAATTTTGGGAGGGAAGTGAGTATGCGGGGCATACTCCTAGTACGTTGGGCGTATGCTGCCCACGGATAAAACCTAATTTTTAGGGTTTAGACCATATTTAAGCATCATTATGGAGTCAAGACATTTCCCCCCATCAGCCTCCTTCCCTCTAAAGATACGTGGACGAAGCCCTAGCCATTTTTGGTGCATTCTTGAGCTATTGGTTGAGTTTTTGGCCCTTTTGGTGCATTAGAAGAAGAAGAGACTAGGTGGTGGTGCATTGCTGGAGTTGGAGCCTCAAGATCCAGAGCTATCTCCTTCATTGCAAGCTTATGGAGGTAAAAAGTTCTTACCTTAATGGTTCCTTTATTGAGATCTCATTTATGGGTAGATTTAGGAGCTATTGGTTCCATGACCTTGGTTCTTGGGAGTATGGGCTACTCCAGAACCTTATTGTGGCATTTCTTAGTAGATCCGAGGTCCTTGAAGCATAAAAATCGAGTCTTGGTGGTAGAGATAGAAATATAGAGAAGGAAAGGGAAAGAGATATAAAGATAGAGATATAGAGAGGGAGAAGGAGAGATAGAGATTGAGTTGGAGATATAAAGAGGGG